ACTTCAGGGAAATTCTTAGGGTTTGTAGTAAGACACCGAGGTATAGAAATTGATCCTTCCAAAATAAAAGCCATCTTAGATATGCCACCTCCTAAAAGTCTAACCCAATTAAGATCTCTTCAAGGTAGGTTGGCATATCTACGGAGATTCATTTCTAACTTGTCTGGTAGGTGTCAACCATTTGCTGCTTTATGTAAGAAAGATGCCCAATTTCATTGGGATGAAAAGTGTCAAAATGCTTTTGAAAGCATAAAACAGTATTTGTTAACACCTCCAGTCTTAGCGGCTCCTATTCCGGGAAAACCTCTGATACTTTACACCGCAGCTTTAGACAACTCTCTTGGCGCCTTGTTAGCCCAAACTAACGAGGAAGGAAAAGAGAACTCACTTTACTACTTGAGTAGGAGACTCTTACCAACTGAAGCTAATTACCCACCTATTGAGAAACATTATTTAGCCTTGATTTTTACTGCCCAGAAATTAAGGCATTATATGTTAGCTCATAAAATCAATCTCATTTCTAGAGTCAATCCACTCCAATACCTGATGACTCGTCCAACGTTGTCAGGACGTTTGGCAAAATGGTCAATGTTCTTGCTCCAATTTGATATCACGTTTATACCCTTACGTGCAATCAAAGGTCAAGCCGTAGCTGACTTCTTAGCAGCACACCCGATCCCTGCTGAGTCCCCTCTAAATGATGACCTCCCAGATGAACAAATTATGAGTTTGGAGGAGCAGGAAGGAAATACCTGGGAGTTATATTTTGATGGTGCCGCATCTTCACAAAAGATTGGGGAACCTCAGGAAGTAATCCCAGGGAAGGCCGGTATCGGGTTGGTTTTCATAACCCCTGAAAAAGGATTGTTGCATTATTCTTATTATTTATTAGAGCCTTGCACTAATAACGAAGATGAATACGAAGCTCTAATATCTGGTTTAGAATTAGCAATATCAATGGAAATCGGGGAAATCAAGATATTTGGAGATTCTCAACTTATTATCAATCAAGTTGCTGGTATCTACAAAGTCTTGAAGCCTAAACTTCTTCCGTACTATCAATATACTATGAAGCTTCTCGAGCAGATTCCAAGTGTAACTTTGTATAGGATACCCCGTGGAAGAAATTCTATGGCGGATGCCCTTGCAAAACTTGCGAAAGAGTTAGCTTGTATAGAAGAAGAACCAATTTCTATAGAAGTTCAAGGTCGCAAGATTTTGTCTCCAATAGACTTGGAATACACCAATAATATTTTTCCTTCTGAGAGTGAGATTGTTCTTTCTATTAATGATGAAATGGTTGATTGGAGAAAACCTTTCATTGACTACTTGTAAGAAAACAAACTTCCTCAAGAGAAATCTGCTGCAGATCAGATTAAGAGAAGGGCTCTCTCCTATACGCTGATAAACGGCACTTTGTACCACCGGTCTTTTGATCAATTGTGGTTACGTTGTCTTAACAAATAGGAAGCCCAAAAGATCGTGACTGAGGTACATGCCGGATTGTGTGGTGCTCACCAATCTGGTCCTAAAATGAAGATGAAAATTAAAAGGTTAGGATATTATTGGCCCTCGATGATTGACGACTATATGTCTATTGCACGTCGTTGTCACCAGTGCCAAGTACATTGTGTAGTCCTACACCAACCTCCTAATGTCCTACATTGCTTCATGGCCTTTTGAAAGTTGGGGCATGGATATCATTGGCCCTATCGATCCTCCCTCTTCTAAAGGTCACCGATTCATTCTAGCGGTAACAGATTACTTTTCAAAATGGGCAGAAGCTGTTCCACTACGAGAAGTCAAAACTCTCAACGTGATCCAATTCTTTCGAGACCATATCGTATATCGATTCGGCATCCATCGTCGAATTATATCTGATAATGGTCCCTCTTTCAAAAGTACCAAACTGACAACTTTGTTAAATGTCACAATATTGATTGGAGATACTCCACAAGCTATTACCCACAGGCAAATGGTTTGGCAGAGGCCTTCAATAAGACGTTGGTAGGAATTTTAAAGAAGAGCTTAGAGGACAATAAGCGACAGTGGCATGAAAAGTTGGGTGAGGCTTTGTGGGCTTACCGAACCACATATAGAACCCCAACTCAGTCTACACCGTTTGCTTTAGTCTTTGGGGCTGAGGCTGTTCTCCCTTTAGAGGTACAGCTTCCCTCTCTAAGAGTTGCAGTTAATAATAGTATCACATATGAACAGAACGCCCGACTTTGACTAGAAGAACTCGAAGGTTTAGAAGAGAAGCGATTGCAGGCTCAACAGAACCTCGAGTTATATAAATCTCGTATGGCTCAAGCACATGATAAATTAGTCCGCCTTAGAAACTTTCGAGTAGGAGAGCTTGTGTTGGTCTTACGTATACCTATCTTGACTCATCGAAGGTTTGGGGGTAAATTTGAGCCTACCTGGGAAGGTCCTTTTGTGGTGGAGAAAGTCTACCAAGGAGGATCTTACCAATTGGTAGATTGTAAAAGTGATCGTCCTATGTTTCCAATCAATGGGCGTTTTCTTAAGAAATACTATGTGTAATGATATTGTTATGAAGATTTTGCAATAAAATTTACAAATTTCTTAGAATTTACGTTGTTCTCAAGTTTTGTTTTAATGTCACATATTGTACTGGGTCCAAGTGATTTGTATACTTTTGAAAATCAAAATAGAAAGGTTGCAAGATTTGAAATAATTGAGATGTTCTATAATACTATTGTAGAATTGTCCTTTTATTGATTTTCCCTTTTTTTACATATAATGGTCCAATATAAAAACAAAATCTATAGTGGAATATCTGTAAGTTATAAGGATCAATTTTGTTAAAAAAGAGAACAAATTTTCAATTCAATGAATTTTCAAAATTTTTATTCTTCCAAATATTTTCCATTCTCTTCTAGAAAATGACATATACAAATGTTTTAATCTCTAATAGAATATTTACATTTTGTCAATGTCATTTGTGATGAAGGGAAATGATCCAAAGTCTTAAAGAAATCAATTCTTCATTAAATTTTAAATCTTAAATTCATCTTTAGGTGTAAGTCCTCCTACGGCATCCTATTGACATCTTTGGAGTTAGGAGTAAGCATCCCTAGTGGCATCCTAATCTTCATTCCGAGGAGAAGTATAAGCATCCCTAGCGGCATCTTCTCTTCATTAAATTTTAAATCTTAAATCCGTCTTTAGGTATAAGTCCTCCTACGGCATCCTATTGACATCTTTGGAGTTAGGAGTAAGCATCCCTAGTGGCATCCTAATCTTTGTCCCGAGGAGAAGTATAAGCATCCCTAGCGGCATCTTCTCTTCATTAAATTTTAAATCTTAAATCCGTCTTTAGGTATGAGCACCGCCAAGTCCACTAGGGGCGCCCTGAAGGAATAAGAAATGGACAGCTTAGGTCAGGCTTGCATGAAACTTCTACCGAGAATCAGCGTTATGTCGATTACACATCTTAGGTTGGTCAGAACTGAGGGACAATGCCCCCTAACCTAAGTGGGCCTACCAGCGAAGCAACTGGTACTTAATTGGTCGGGGGGCGGTTTGGTTTCGTGCAACGCCCCCGCTGCAGGAACAGGCAGGCGGTTCTCATTGGAAAGTCAACGCCCCACCCCAACGTGAGAGTCTTGCCTTTTCAGCCTACGCTTGCTGCTTGCAGCATGGATTCTTTAGATCTAAAGAATCCATGCTTCCCCCGCCCCGGAGCGAGACTCTATCCAGATCTCAAATAAGAACGAGCTAGGCTTAGGCGGGCAAAGAAAGGGGGCCGGCCGGTCGGGGCCTTGGCGATACGTTCTTCTTTCGAAGCGTTTTGCCAATAGAGCGAGGGCGTCCTTGACGGGTGGGGCGCGCCAAAGCAACCGGGGCCCCGGAGGGGTCAGTACTAAAGTACTATCTTCTTTCCACTAAAAAGAACTGGCTGGCTGCGTTTTGTAGCGCGCGTACTCTGATCCTCTTCTACGAATCTACAACTCTATTTACTGAGCGAGACTCCATCGATATCCCTAAAAGTTTCTTTTTTCTTCTATTCTATGATTGAAATGATAGCTTCAACTAGGCTCCACTTTAGAGATGGTCTTAATAAAGATAGGGTCAGGGGCGCGTCGGAACGGTAGCTGCTTAGTCTCATCCGAGAGTCCAATCTTTTTGTACTGTGCTTTTTTTTTTCTTTTTTGAAAAAAGAAAGAAAGAAGGGGGTCGATTTAGGCTCCTTCCACTGCATAGCAGCGCTATCAGGTACTACGAGCCTTCTGTCCCACGCATCTAACCAGCTCGCGTGGTTCACCGGTTCCACCGAAAACTCTCATTTGTGGAGCATAGTGCGGCGCAGAGCGAGAAACGTCTCTTCTTTCGGTTTATTCACTGATCTGAAATGAAACGGAGCACTTGTTTTCTTATCTAGCGCCTGGGGCGAGGCGTTCGCAGAATCAGTATATCCGAACCGAAGACGCACTTCTCAGATCAGTGACGGCCTCTCCAGCGGAGCTGGGCGCCGGGCCCTGGATGCGCTAGCGATCGGCACATTAGGGGAGTGCTTGCCCGGGTTTCTCGGCCTGGTATCCTGCACCTCGCGTTCATGATCTCTATATTCCACTGTGCCCCGGAGACACGGTCGAAGCTCGCCCGCCCAGTGTGCCTCTTTCACGACATGCTCTGGTCCCGGGTCTCTTCCTGTGGTCTTCTAGCGTTAGAAGAAGTCGTGTCCGTCCACGTCCTACCACGTTAGGGGACTAAGCAGGGACAATCCTAATCGGTGACTTTCGCGGTCGCCCTCACTGAACCGACTTGAATATGAACTACGATTCAGATCAAGTCTGACCGAAATCGGATTTCCTTTTCGTGCCATATGACGCTGAGACTTTCCTTTTTCCCCTTTCTTCCCTTTCCTTTATTTGTTCTCGAAGGTCTTCGTCTCCGTGTAAAAGCAAACTCTCCAAATTTATGACCAACCTTTCCTTCAGTGATCCGACAACGAACAGGAGTTTTTCCATTGTAAATGAGTACGGAGCAATCAACGAATTCCGGCGAAATAGAAGATCTACGTGACCAAATTTTCCTGCTCAAAAGACTTTCTCTGTTCTTCTTCATTCTCAACAGGAAAGCATCAACAAAACTGCCCTTCCATATAGATCGTCGTGGCATGAACTAAATTCTGCGTTTCCCCACCCCCACTACTGCCCTAAATCCTGCTTTGGTGGGCTTCCCCCAAGGTGACACCGAAGGTCTACCTCCTTTCGTGCGCCCCTCACCTCCTCCATGAGGATGATCCACTGGATTCATTGCAACACCACGAACAATGGGGCGTCTGCCTAACCACCGGCTTTGTCCTGCTTTTCTAAGCTTACGTGCACCATGGTGGGGATTGGAAACTATACCAATAGTAGCTCGGCATCGGGAATCTATGAGTTTTTCAACACCCGAAGGTAGCCGCACAAGACATTGTGAGGCTGGCTCCTTCATTATTTTAGCAGAAGTTCCTGCGGCTCGAGCCAGCATTGCGCCTTTACCTGGATGATATTCAATATCATGTACCAATGTTCCCATACGTATATCAGCTAATGGTATGCAATTTCCTACTTGAGAATTTAGATCAAGTATCTCGTATCTATAAGCAGGGGGGCGTGGCCAAGAAGCAGCCAGCTGACTGCCCCCTGAAACCCGATCTTGATTCGCTGTGCGAACAAGGTCTTGGAACCGACGGTATGTATGGGCATTCTGGGCAGGTCGCAAGAAGCCGCTTTTATAAGGTTTGGACCAATCGCAATTCATCACCATCTGACCCGCTTCCAATCGATGACTGGCTAATATATAAGTGTTGACCTAAGCCCCTGTGCAGTGGCTCGGCTCCCGAACCGTACGTGAGCCGCCTCGTACGGCTCTTCCTAAGAAGGTAGAAGCCCCCCTCTATAAAAATGAAAAAGCCTTCGCTTCGCCCTCCTATTCAACGGGGCTATTAGAGACTTCGTTCTTTGACTTCTTTTCTTTTTTATAGAGGGCTTCGTTTCTGATACCGGCTTTCTTAGTGACGAGCTCACTTTCGCGGACTTCTGCCTTAGTGTAGTCTCGGTGAAGACTTTCATTTCAGACTCCGTTCCTTAGCCTAGTATATATCCACAGCTGACGTGACTCCGTACCGACGCCTTTCCCTTTGTAGACGGATAAGTGACTCTGTCACCCTAGCTTTTCTCCTTTGTAGAACAGCTAAGCCAGTTCCTGAGTTTCACTTACCTTAAACCAACTCTTTGATTCCATAACCTTAGCCTCGGCTCGGCTAAGTGATTTATTTCGTCACCTTAACGTACTTTTGTTTTCGTGCTTATTCCCATCAGGTCTAACCTTTGCCGGGCTTTCGTCCCCGCGCCTATAGGCGGCTTGGCTTCGCTATCGCTCATGACTTGGTATAGAGATCTCTCCGTGTAGTGTAGTGGTCGTCGGCCTTCCCACCCCCATGCCTCCTTCCTTACTTTTCTGCTCCTTACAGTCGCACCTTGACTACTAGAAATCTAAAGGACAGGGGGCTGTTCACCTTTGCTTTTGAAACTGAGCTACTTCATAAAAGAAAGAAAAACTAAAGACTCTTGTAAAGGCGAACGGGGCTCCCAGGCCGGGACGTCTGGCGGAATGCTTGGCCTCCTGCGCTGGAAGCGACACCCGAAGGGTGAGCTTCTTAGGTTAGCTTCACGTCAGTAGGCATTCTGGGCTGGAAGGAGGCAAGCAAATGAAGGGAGGCATGGAGGGCCGACTACAAGACTACGACTACAAGAAGCAAAGCTTAGCGAGCTTTAGTTGGCCGACCACTACATAAGCCGCTTAGGGGAAAGCTCGAATTCGCTTCGCGAACCTTCATTCGTTGCTAAGCCAAGGTCCCAGGTCTCCGAGTCAGCCCGCGCTTTTTCGAAGAATCCTGCACCCATGGGCATACGGCCTGGCAGGCCTTCCCTTTCCGCCGGAGCTTCATGGGCGTTGCCCCGTTCCCCAATCAGATGTTTGGATGTGAGCTATACTCCGCGAGGAGCCACACGGGCGTATGTTTGCCTTGCCATTTGACCTCTCTTCCCGTGTGAGACGGAATGCTCAGTGACAACCTCTCAATTGTAACCGCCTGGCCTCTCTTGCTACCACGGTAGCACCTAGTGTGGTCAGCACCAATCGTGTTCGGGCAACGAAGCTGACACTCATTCACATTGGTTCATCCTGCTATGCCCCGGGCCTTTTGCTCTTCTAACAACAATGGTGGCCGGCCATTCGTCAAGGCCCCGGAATCCGCTGGACATCTCAGCGGCGGGATTGGATACCCGCATCAGATCGAAGTTCCATGTTAGTGCCTCCCTAAAAGGAGATTCTAGGTGGGTCGCTTCGCGAAAGACATTGCTTAGGACCAACGGGTCACACGACAGGTGCACGATCGACTTTGCACGCTCCATTCTTCGTGGCAGGCAAGCTACCTTGATCCGCCTTCGGCTTCGATTCGTTATGCTCAGCAGCTCCAACAAGCCCTAAATTTTCTTGCTGCCTCAAACTTTGCCAAGAAAGCGCTGCTTGACGTTTGATCCTATGTGCCCAGAGAACGCAATGCGTTCTCCCCTTTCGGATCTCGCAAAGAGGAGAAAACGTCTTTTTTCCTATGAGTTTCTCTCTCATTCGCGGAGCGAAGAAAGCGGGCTTTGCCCCAGCTATCGCTATCCTTGGGAAAGCCAAAGAGCTACCGAAGGAAAGGAATGCAGTCTCTCCCTTGGCCAAGGGAGAGGGCAGGGCAGAGAAGAAAACGTCCTTCGCGCAAGTTTGTTTGCTTCCTGCGCAGGCTTGGCTCTTCGACCAAGGAGGCATGAAGGTAGGAAGGCCGACCACTACATAAAGCGTAAGCAAGCACTTGGCTTGGGAGCAAGCTACCTTTCTTTGATCCACTTTCCGGGGCAGGGAAGAGAACGAAAATAGGCAAAAGATGGTGGCCGTGGTAGATTCGAGGATCTGACGCGGCGGAGCGAACTCTTCTATCGTGTTCGTGTTGCATTTCCTCTGGCGGCGTAGCAGCACCCCCTCGATCCATCGTACTAGAGCGATCCGAGAAGAACGATTAGGGTCATATTCGATCCTTTCTACAATGCCCATAGACGAAGTGCTTCGTTTCAGGTCAATTTTTCGCTGCAATCGCTTCGATCCACCCCCTCGGTGAAAAACTGTAATACGCCCAGATGAATTCCTCCCTGCGGACTTCCCCGTACTCAAAGTGAAATTGAGAAGTGCTCTCCCCTTTAGGCTTTTTCTCATTCTCTCTCGTCATCATTCGATTCTGTCTCTACTTCAATGAAAAAAGCTCCTCCTACTCCTCCTTATCTAACGCCTTTAGTATAGGATCGTCGTTGGTCCTTCTTTCATCTCTGTCTTTTGTCATTTCTTTTTTCTTTTAGAAGAGCTTTTTGCTCCGCACCTTTCCATTGGACCGCGAGACGCTACTCTCCATAAGTCATTGAGCTATAGGCTCTCAAGGGTGCCCTTCCTTGTTGGTCTGAGTTCTGCGAAGATTGTGCCCTCAGGGTAAGGTAAGGGCTCTTTGTTTTCCCCATTCAATTCATTCATTCTCAAAATTTCTAAAAGCTTCCGACTGCTGCTCTTCAATGAATTCCCCCAAGATACGATTGATCTATTGCCGAGGAAGATTCTCACTCAAGGAAGCTCCAACAAAGACCGGGTTTTGATCTTTACTGGACAGTTATTTCGGAGTTGATCTCAGTGCATGCATGAAGGAAGACATAGATCGAATGAAAGAGCAAATGAAGGACATCACAGGTAATGAATGATAGAGTCTAAGAGTCAATGTGCAAATTAGTAGAATAGTGAAATGAAGTCTTCTAGTTCGAGTTCATAGAGTGCCGCTGCCCAAGAAAGATTGAGAGCTCCAACCGGGATCTTCGACTAACTACTCTCTAGCGCCTTTGGAACCAGGGTCTTCACGTATCCCGCATGATGTGCTCCGTCTTCTTGGCATGAACCATTCTGCTTTCAAGTCCTGGGGAACCACTCCTCTTGTCTTGCCAGGCAACTCAACCTATTCTATTTGTTTTGTCTGCTTTCTTTCCACCGACCGGGCTTGCTGTGGATCATGTTTAGAAAGAAAAGTGCTCTAATCAACCTGAGACCACTGACTCTCGGAAACTAGAGAGAAATCGCCTGGATCAAATGACTTTGTGCTCTATGTTGATAGGTGGAAGATAAGATCGATTTGCTTATCCATCTGATCGTTTTGTTTTCAAAACGGATGAAAGACGATTTCTGTTGATTGACCTCCTTCTAGTCATGGACACCCTCTCTCTCGTCTACAACCCTTGTAGCACTCTTTCTTGCACTACTTCTTTTGTTTTTTGTTTTCCAAGGCGATTCCCCTGTTGAGACATTAGTTTATCGCTGAGTAAGCAATGTTTTTCCCGCTCCGGTACTCAAATTGATTTTAGGCTACGAAGGTATGAAATTGTGAACTGCCTCGACAACTGTATATGCATCTTTTTTGGTAAGCTAGCGCCTTGCTAAAGGGGATTTACTTTAGATACACAGACCTCTGAAGAACCTACCGGGATAAACCCTAGGCGTCGTTCGCAGCCTATCATACATTTGACACAGCAGACCGTAGCGAAGGACGAGTCGTTCCTTCACGTTGCGCCTGCTAGTCTAAAATACAACCGGAGGCGCGGAGCGAAGCAAGGGAATTCAGACACGACTGAGTTACTCGTCTGAAACTGCTACCCCCGCTGCCCTAACCGCTGCTTTCATAAGTGAACTTTGAATCCGCTTACTGGTCCTCGGTCTATGTTTCCTTTACCCGCAGCTAACCGCTAAACAGTCTACATCAGTAGCCTCACCACATTCATAACTCGCCATGCACAACAGGCCTCTTTTGGTATGTCATATTTCTTTCTTAAAAACAACATGAGACCATTCAACTGGATGGCCTCTGCGTATGATAACATTCCAAGCAGACCCATAGAAAACTCCCCCGACGCCTCCTTGCTCCACACAACCTGATCTTGTGTACCTCGGGCAGGAAGTTCCACCCTTTTTCTCTCTTCCCACAGCTGAGCCAGAGTTGAGGTGAAAGGGGAGGGCCCACTGTCCATTCACTAGAAATCTACTCACCAAAGAGTCTCTTTCACCAAAGTAAAGCATCACATTCCTTCCAACAACATCTACAATTCTTCCCTGGGACAACCACGGATCAGTCCACAGTCTAGTTTTCCTTCCATCACCTTCTTCTTACCATATCTAAATAAAAGAATGAATAAACTTTTTCAAAAAATATATTTCTATCTTTAAACATATTCTATAGAATTTCATGTTCATCTTTTGAGATGATATGTTATTCTTTGAACTATGTTTGATTATAGAAATATCAATTTTTAAAACCCTATTTTGATATTGAATCCATTATAGAATATTGTGTCAGTCTCTAGAGATTATATTTTATTCTTAATGCAGTATTCGGTTACAAAATAGGAGAAATCAAAATCTGCGTGGTGACACAATTTTTCCCACCAGTATTTTTCTGAAATGTCATGATTAACAAAATAAATAACACATCTTTTAGCTGAGTCAGCACAGCTTCTCATTTTGGCAACTGATCCATCATAGTGATCAAGAATTTGAGCATTCTGGCACTTGAATGTGAAATTTTGTGCTAAGGTGTTGAATAACTCAATGCTCTGGCACTCATTTTCAAAGTCTCTAATGTTTTGATTCTAATTTCTAGTTCATCAATGCTGTGATTTATTATAGCGCTGACCTTGGTGTCACCGTAGTGCTATAATGATAGAGCAACTAGAATTGCCATGTATGAATTTAGATGTTGATGCATTAAAGAGTATAATGCTGCAACACTATATTTGATGGCACTATGACACTATTCAACACTTAAAGATTCTTTCCTTTCCATGAACATTTCCTGCAAAACCATAACTAAAACATATTCTCACTATATTTAAATATAATAAAAAGTTTGTAATTTACACTTAACAAAATTTCCCCATCATAAACTCATGCTTTTACTCAAGTAATGGGAAAAATCACTAATTGATCAACTTAGTAGCCAAAGTAAAAATAGAAAATTTAAAATTATTAAAATATAAGATAATGCATTACAATCTATAAGTAATTTGGAATTATCAAATTTATAATTTTAATTTGAAAGGTTATAATATTTATTCTAATTTGTCACCCATGTTTGTTTTGAATCTGTTCAATATGAATACAAATGTAAAATTGACTTCTAAATTAAAAAATGAATATTATAACTTATCGATTAGTTATGCTTCTAGTTAAATTAAAAGTTCATTAGTGTACCATCATATGGACTAGTTCATTTACCTTTCCTTATTTAATTTTAATGTTAGGATGCATTTAGATTTAAGCTTTAATTGACACACATTTTTATAATTTTTTCTTTCATATTTGTGGGGTACATATTTAATAATTTTGAATAACAAATTTTTTTTTATCCTCTTGCAGCCCGAATTAAGTTAATGTAAGAATTCACTTTGATTAGCAATTCCATTTGAAAGTTTACTATAATTGACCTAATTTAAGCTACCCACATCTTTTCTCTAAACTTAATTACTCATTATTCAATTCAAAAGTCAGTGTATTAGTGTATAGTTTCAAAATTTAAGTCAAGTCAAATACTTAACACATCTATGTTAATTAATTATAAAGCTTTTTAAGTTATGAATTTTTATGCATTGTTCATTAAAACTATAATCTAGGATTTTATTATTATATTAATTTTATATAATTTTTAATTATCATTTTTATTTCACTAAATAAGCAATCAAAGTGCAAGTATATGTAAGGGATAATTTTCAGCAATTAAGCATAAAGGAATTTAAAGTAAATATAAATAACATAATAACACAATATGAACTAATTAATAAACATACATAACAAAACATTAAAAGATGATCAAAAAATAGCATAACACATAAGAAGAGAACTAAGAAATTGAATAAACTTCAAACACCAAACAAAATTATTGGATTGCCTACCATCACCACAAAGTTTGTAGCCTTCTGCTAGACTATACCAATTATTCTTTTTGAGGATGAACCAATTCATTGATATTCCTTAGATGATTTATGTCCCCTCCTAAGCTGTGGCCATTGACTTCAAATATATTTAAACTCTTCTTATCCTAAATTTCAACAGCTCCATAAGGGAATACTTTCATAATAGCAAATGGTCCTGAACACATGGTTTTTAGTTTATTGGGAAATATTTTTAATCTATAATGAAATAGCAAAGTACATAATATCTAGTGCTAAATTCTTTCATAAGAAGCTTATAATAATACAATTTTTTAAATTTTATCATTATCAATCATAGCATTTTTATAAGCCTCATATCTAAATTCTTCTTTTTTATTCAACTATATTAATATTTTTCTTTCATTTCCTTATGATCAATATTTAATTATTTTATAGCCGAGAATGTCTTATGCTCTAATTTAACAAGAAGGGGCTAAGCTTTGCAAAGACTACTTATAGGGAGGCATGACAATGGGAATTTTAGAAGCAATTCTATGGGCCCTAAATGCATCATCCAATTTAATAGCCCAGTTTTTACTATTAGAAATTTTAGCTTGGCCACTAGTTTAAGGATGATAAGCTTTTACAACTCTATGATGAATACCATATTTCATTATTCTTATTTTTATTTTTACTACAAAAATGGCTTCCCCCAATCAATGATTAACACTTTAGGCATTCTAAATTTGGAAAACATATTTTTCCTTAAAAATTAAGCACAACTTGAGCTTTAGTTCTATAGGTTATCACTCCAATCTATTTTTACACATAGTTAATAACAATAAGATTATACAGGCATCCATGGGTTTATACAAATGGTCCTATGAAATCCAATCTCCAAACATCAAATATCTCAATTTCTAAAATATAGTTCAAAGGCATTTTATTTCCTTTGGAAATATTGCCTAATCTTTAACATTGATCACATTTTCTAACGTAATCATTAACATCCTTAAATAAAGTGGGCCAATAAAATCCTAATTGGAGTACCTTAGAAGCAATTTTAAATCCTCAAAATGCCTTCCATAATGAGAATCTTGACATCCCCTAATTATGGGTTCTACTTCTTCCTATGGGAAATATCTCCTAATGATTTGGTCATTACAGGCTTTGAATAAATATGGTTCATCCTAAAAATAATACTTGGCATCATGCACAAATTTTCTTTTTTGAATAGAGGATAAATCAAATACAAGTACACCACTGATAATAGAATTGATAATATCAACATACCATTGTAATTTATTCAGATTCAAAGCAAATAGTTGTTCATCTAGAAAAAAAAACTCATTCATTTAAAGTTCATTATATGTTTTTTCCTCATTTGAAAGTCTAAATAGATGATCAACATTTTGATTTTAGTTTCTTCTCCAACAAATTCCTACAATCATTTGTAAGGGTCCTTTCTATCTCAAAATTGAACAACAGGGTCTCCTTACTAAATATTTTAAGCATATAATAATGATAAAACAAAATAAAATGAAATGATATAACTAGGTCTAAATATACACTTGTTTCAACAATATAGTTTTATTGTGAGATGCATGTTACTTCCCCGGGAATGGCATCAAATACTTGATGGAGGCTAAGCTTAGTGTAAGTGGCTATTTCTAGTGTAAATTAAGCTATGTAGTAAACAATATGAGCTACGCACTATCTAGCATGCATTATGAATAAGCTTAGATTTAATTTTATATGAAAATAACTAATGCTCATAAAATATCCAAGTATGTGTGTTGATCAAGTAATAAAGTGATAGCGAAGTGTGTAGATCTCATGAGGAAGTGTTCTATTTAATTGTAATTAAAATAATACTGCTTGATTCAAATGCACAATTAGCCAAAATAGTTTTTATACTTATGTAGATAAAGTATTTTGGACTAATGAATGCAAAACAATATAGTTTTCCTAACTAGAATCTTAATTTTAGATGAGGATCTGAGCATATATATCCTAAGATATCTATCAAGCATGTAGATGTGAAAAGAAAGGTTTATGGCCTTCCTATAATTATATTCTCTCCATAGAACCTAAAAAGTTAAACATACATGTCTAAGCATGTCAACATTCCATTTTAATACTCCTACTTATTCCAACATTCTTCTATAAAGGCTATATAACACACTAGATTTTAACTATATATATGTCCATCATATGCTTAGATCAAAGAATGAGAGATATTGAAAATATCTATATAATCATTCAAGGCGCCAGTCTATATTAGTACTTGTTATGCTTTTACATTACCAACCAAAAATCAGAGAATTAATAGACATAGAAGATACAAAAATTAAACTCTTTTTTATTTCATTCATTAAAAGAAGGGATATAAGAGAAGTAATAAGAAAATTATCACCTACAAGGATCAATTGATATTGTCTACACTCCTTGACAAGATTTATTGCTTGCTCTACTATAGTGCTGCAAAGAACTGGCACCATGAATGATTGAAATAGCATGTCTTTTAGCTTGTCGACATAGCTCCTCCACTACGGGAAAACATGTGATTACCGTCGGATTTTCCGGCGGAAAATTCTGCACCGGTTAGCACGGCGCAGGTAACGGCGCATTGTTGCGTCGGAAAATCTACGACGGAGTTTTCGGCGCAAACTACGCCGGAACCTTTTCGACGTCAGTTACGCCGGCATCGGCGTAGGCAAACACCATCAACAGCTGGACCTTCGACAGCATCTGGACCTTCGGCAGCAGCTGGACCTTCGACAGCAGCTGCAGCAGAGCAGGCGACAGATGGTAGAATATTGATAGAACCTGAGGGTGACACGTACGCACATTCTCTTTTATTTAAGCTAATGAACATTTCTATTTTATATTTTATATTTGTTTCACAAAATTTTATTTTTGTAGGTTCTACCCATCAAAGCAACTGACACATAAAATACGGGACATCATACGGAGCAGGTTTGACGCTCCATATGTTTCTTGGAAGAAAGTCCCGAAAGAAGTCCGGGAGATGTGGTTTAGAGAGTTTGAGGTATTTTTGGGTTTTAGTTTTTATGTAAAATGATTTATTCTTTTTTACTTAATCTAAAAATCTTATTTATTATATATCATATGTATTTGAATGCAGAAAGAATTTTGTTGGATGCCCCAACACAATGATAGGATTAGAAAGAATTTTGAGAAGTGTGGGTCTACTCGGATGCGTGACATATTCACAGATATTAGAAAGCATGGGAAGCGACCATTGTGGATTGGAGAGGTTATATGGGCTGAGTTGAATGCAGCTTGGGGCAGCGAAGAGTACACTAGGAGGAGGGATCAAAATCGACAGAACAGAGCTTCTGATGTTGGGGGCTTGGGTAGTTCACTTCATACAGGAGGCTCCGTTCCACATACTGAGCACAGGCGTCGTTTGGTAATGAATTTTAAATATTATTTAAAATTGTTCTTTAATTTGTATTAATAAAATTCTCTTAATTCTAACAGAAAGCGACGCTTGGTAGAAAACCAACTCCTGTGGAATTGCATAGTCGCACTCATAAGCGACATGAGGATCAACAATGGATTAATGAGAGAGCAAGGAAAGCCCATGTAAGTATATATTTATATGTGTTTAATAATTTTTATTTTTAGTTTTATTATATATATTTATATTCTACTTTCACAGGAGGAATATATACGGCTTCGAGAGGCTCATGTCGCAGCAGGTGAGGGCTCTTCTGGTGGGTCTGTGGAGTTTTCTAAGTATCGCATCTGGTCGCAGGCCATCGGAGGAATGCATCATGGGAGAGTTTATGGTTTAGGTGCGCAAGCTCAGGCATGCGAGGGGATGACCTCCTCTACGGCATCTAGCTTCGCATCTAGTTCTCATGACTCCTTGCAAGCTCAACAAATAAGTGCCCTACAAGCTGAGCTAGAACAAGTAAGGAAATCACAAGCTGATTGGCAAGCTCAGTTGCAAGCACAGGTTCAAATGCAGATGCAGAAGCAACACAATCAGTTGTTGGATGAAATGCGCAAAATGAGGGAGCAGATGAGTGGAAAAGAGGTAGCTCCAGCTGAGGAGGAGTCCACGGATTCAGAGTAGTTTAGTTTATTTTCTTTGAATCCATAATATTGAAAAATATGTGATGTTTTAAGTTGGTTGTTACTATTGAACAATTCCTTTTAATGAGTATTTATGTTTTTGTGCATCTGTTGAATTGTTATAAACTGTTGTGGATAGATATTTGTATAGGTTTGCAGGTGTGAAATTTTGATTGTTGGCTGGGAAGGAAAATTTTTTTTGTCAATGCTACAGGTTTCCGGCGGATTTTGCGCTGGCCGTTCGCCGGAAACGACGATACAACGAATCGTTTCGATTATACTGGCGTCTCTTCATACGCCGGAACTTCCCAGCGTCGACTCCGCAGGGGTTGTCCGACGCATATTTTGCGACGTAAACATTCCCGCAGGTTATTTACGGCGTACTAACGACGTTCTTTCCATCGGTAAATACCGGCGGACTCTTACGACGCAAATTACCTGTGCCGATGTCGCCGGAATTATCGGTCAAAAAGTCGCCGACTGCCATCATTGTTTGCGCCGGTAATGTGTCGGAAAGTGCGCCGGAAATATTTTCGGCGCATTATATGCACCGGACAACATTTATCGATGCGAACCAAACCGGCGCATGGAATTCCGCCGAAAACACATCATTCCGACGGATATCTTCTAGTAGCGGCGGATTTTATCCGCCGGTATTAACGGGTTTTCCCGTAGTGCTCCTTTTGTAAACTACTCCACCACGATGCTCCAGAATTTGAGCAATGCTACACTTGAATGTGGAATTTAGCATTAAGGTTGCAAGGCTCAGGGCTCCAATCTAAGGTTTCAATGCTGCGGTGCCAATTTTTGATGTTGTGGCACTATGATGTTCTACATCACTGACCTTGGTGTTGTCACAACACTAGAATGATAGAGCATCCAATGCTTCCATATATAAATTTAGATGCTAGGAAGTGGAAGATCATAACACAATAACACTTTTTTTATGGCACTGTGGCGTTGTTTAACACTTATATATTTTTTCTTTTTTCCTAAATCCTCCACAAAACACCGAAAACAAAAAATTTTCACTACATTTAAATATAATAAAAAATACACAATTCGAGCTTAACAAAGTGTCTCTATCATTTTTTTTTTCTTATTTTTTTTTTATTTTTTTTTGTTTTAATCTATCATGTATTTCCTAATTGGTTGATCATCCAAACCTTTTATAATGGGTTAGTAGAATCTGTTAGATCCTTCATAGATAATATGGGTGGAGGTTCATTAATGTTCAACACTTTCAATGAAGGTTATGCTTTAACGGAAGAGATGGTGACTAATAACTTCTAGTAGCCTTCAATAAGAGTGAATCCTCAAAAGTACCTAGTATATGTAAGTCTCATGCTTTATCAATTTTAACTACCCAAGTAGCTACCATTTCTAGGAAGTTAGATCATCTTGGAGTTATTACCACTCAAAGAGTACCTATGTCAGTTAATAAGAGCCTTTTTGGATCGCCCAAAGAACCTAAATCCTTAGGAGTAAAAACTTTGAAATTCAATTAATATTAATGAGTAGAGTAATCCCAACTCTAACTTAAACAACCATAGTTGGAGGAGTTACCCTAAAATGGGTGTACTAATAATTGGAATAATAGTTAACCCAACTATGTATAGAACTAGGACCAGCCTTAACAAAACTTTGTGTAGAGACTCTAAATCAAACCTAGGAGGAAAAGGAGTGAAGCAGTGTTATAGAGTTTTAGTGTAAATACTCTGGATTTAGTCTAGAAGGCTAGGGTTAAAGTCTTTTCAAGGGTGAAGAGGAAAATGGTTTTTATAAAGGCATCTCAACCTTGTTAAAAGCAAGAGGGCATAGCTTGTGGAATTCCTAATGTTAAAACTTTGGAGTGGACATAGATCAAGTTAACTTAACCACTACAAATATGATTTGCATGTTCTTACTTTAGTATTTTACTTCTTATAAATTTTTTTTGTTAAATACTTATTTCTGATAACATTGTTGAAAAATTTTAAAAAAAATAAATTATTATTATAATTATTTTGGCTCTATTATGAAAGAAAAAAAAAATGGTGCTTGATTTTTATTATCTTCCACACAATTAGAAGTCTTTTATACACAACAATTCAACCCCCAACCCCCTCTTGGGTGTTTTGTATGATTTCTGTTAGTATTAATGAACTTTTAGTCTCCTCGATGAAATCTTCCTACCAAAGCACCTAATCGACACGCAAGCCAACACGCCATCAATAGAATTCCTTAATTCACCATACTTAGCCAATGAACAGCTTAAACTATAATTATGATAAAATATTCCAGCACATTTAAATGGCCTAAGAACTCTCCCTTCGAGGTCACCAATGTGATCAAAGAACTCATTTCCATAGACTCCTCTAGCATGAACTATCATGAGGACTCTCCTCTCTCAACTCGAATATCTGCATTTTATGAAAATGCTATATTAGTATATATAACTAAAATTTATTGTTTTTCTTTAATATAATATTTCTTATAAGTTATAGGCCAAATTTTAAGAAGCACCACCTTATCTATTGGAATTAGCAGAAGGAGCATGAAATTAGGAAAATTTAAATAAGAGCAAACTAGCCGTAAGGTTTGGCGCATTCAAAGAATGCACCAGCCTAATTGGCGCATTCTTTGAATGCGCCAGAAATGTTAGCACTTTCACATAATGCACGAATTATTTAGGCACATTTATAGAATGTGTCGATACATATGGTGCATTCTATAGAAAGCACCAATCAGGGTGACACATTATATCTGAACTGGCTTGCATGCACCATTTTTTAAAAAGTTTTGTCCATTGCGGGGACCAGATCTAGTTTTCCCAGGCAGTTTGGTGGATTTGAGTGCGAAAAGTAAATGTTGTGGGGCTTGATTTAATGGAGGGGAGATTTGCTAGGTCGTGTTATGGCTTATAAAAAGCCCCTCACACACAGAGAGCTTCACCCCAAATTTTTATGAAACTCTCCGTTTTGGTTGTAGAAGGTGAGTGATGTGCTTTAGGTTTTTTTTTCTTATGTAGAATTTTTCTTATGTTAAATTTATTTTCTTAAGTTTTGTTTAATATGGCATAGTGTTGCAGCCTGTATTGTATATGAATATTATTGCTAATTTGAGTTCATTGCTAGTTATTATTTTCTTAGTACGCTTGAAAAATGGTTTATTTTGATTTTTTTTTTTTTTTTTTGCCGATTGGTAATTTTGTATTTTTGAATAATTAGTTTGTTTTTTTTTTTCCTTGAAATAAATTATGGTAATTTTTTAATTTAGAGTAACCAAATGTGCCCTTAATGAGAGACAAATTCTATTTTTTTTTTGTTAGGTGAAGCAGATCAGGACTGAGAAAGTAGAATAAAAATTTATGTATTAAGCTTTAGGTAAACGAGTATTTGGCTCTTTAGGTTCAGCTTTTGAACTAAAGTCTTTAAGATTTCATTTGAGGTAACTTTTTTATTGCGTCTTAAAATATTTGTACTAGAAAATTATTTTAAGAAGCACTAAGAAAGACGTCCCAAACGAAGCCTAAATTAACTTGTTACTACTCTTTTAATTAGATGGTTGAATGGGAAGAAATCTGGCAACGACTTGATGCTAAGATAAATATTAATTTTCAATTTTAATTTTAACTAAAAATGTTAAATTAACTTTAAATAGCCAACAATAGCTATTCTTAAATCAATATATTTGATATATTCTCAAAAATTATTTTGATCAAGCATGAATCTCGAAGCACAATCGAATCGGAAACTTCAAAAATTAAATGCGAGAGCACCCGAACTCCGATTTCGATGAGGTTATAGTCAAACTGAGCATCTCGGAAATACAAACTCAACGACACCAAATTAAACTCAATACGAGCCCAAATGAGCCCAAATCAAGTGCCCGAAGTGTTGTTGGAAAGCTCGAACCACAATTTGAGTTACCAAACGGTCTCCGATTTTGATGAGCTTATAGTCGAATCGAACAACTCGATGAGACGAATCCATCGAGCCCAAGATCGCTGAAATTTGACATCACTAAGAACTTCAAATGTCTGACGATGGTACACAATCAAAGGATTCAATATCAGTCGTCCATTCAGCCACTCCCTATTTGCCTCTTATCTCACACCTATTTACGGGTCATGCCACTCCAGAAAAACTATAAATAGACCCCTCATTTCTCATAAGAGGGACCTCAAGAAAGAAGAAGAAGAGAAGAAGACAAGAAGAGAAGAGAAGGAGAGGAGAGATTAGCTCTTCCTCGACCCCCGCCGGAGTTCTTCCCATCGTTAGAACGACGCCAGAATCCTTCCGGACGCCAGAGTGATGCCAGGACCTTACTTGACACCGAAACTCAATACTACTTCTAAATGATGACACTGGAACTCTGCTCGACTTTGTAACTGAATTTCATTGTAATATGATCGTCCTAACTTGTTAGACGAATCAGCCTCTTGTATCTCAAACTAAACTAGTGAAACTTTTCAATTGGGCGTGGCCCCATGGTTTTTTCCCTTTCTAGGGTTTTCCACGTAAAAATCCTGGTGATCTTTTATCTTTTGTTTGTGTGTGCAAGATATTCATACAACGCTCAGACAAAAATTTTAACTCTACCACCGTGTATATTATAGTCCGCAACAGTTTGGCGCCGTCTTTGAGAAATGTTATTCCACAACTTCAAGTATTGTTGCGATGGTCAACAGGCGTAGCAGTCGTATTGTTGGGGCTTCCCGCTCCAACTCCCACCAGTCCAGAAATTAGTCTATGAACCATAGACGCCCGATGTCTGCCTTTTTTTATCCTTGGGGTAAAATGCTGCTGGAGATTATGTGACGCCCCAGGCATCCATAGTGAAAGGATTCGTCGACAGTCTTGATCAACCATCACTTCTTGCTCCCTTGCTCTGACCTGAAATTGTTAACCATATATAATGAGCTTCAAAAAGCCAAGCAGGTCACCTAAGTCTATAACTGAAATCAAAGCACGGTACTAAAACAATATGCATATCAGTCAATCAAATTCATAACAGTCAGTTGCACATGATCAGTGAATCTATGCAGCAGATACGAAAATCAATAATCAATGCATGATCGATACAATCCACAATCATCGGTAAAAGAATTGATAACCGGTAGGAAGAAATCCATAAGGTTAAAAAAACAGTATATATGATAAATCTCGTAAGAATCCAATCAAATCGATAGAGGAAAATCATCGTCTCGATAATAACCATTAAATCAATATCGTATCAATAGAATCAATCATCTCTGGTCAATAATATCAATCAGTATGAAATCATATAAAATGATCAAATCATTACATCGCAAGAACGGTTGAAATCAAATCAATAAAATCATATAAATCAATCAAATCAATACATCAATAATCACGTGCTATAAGAATTAATACAATAAATCA